TATTAGCTAAAAGCCCAAGATGTCCTTATCCACTGAGTTAGAATGGGCTACGGATCCCCGAGGTGAGATCATGACTCTAAACTATGAACCCTTCAAACTGTAGCACCCTCCTCCACAAACCGTCTGTGTCAGTCGGCTCAGGCTGCGGTAACAAAATACCACAGATTGGGTAGTTTAAAAAACAGACATTTGTTTTCTCACACTTCTGGAGATGAGAAGATCAAGATCTTGATCTAAGATCATAGTTCTGGCTGCTTGGGTTTCTGGTGAGAGCTCTCCTCTCTTGGCTTGCAGATGGCTGCCTTCTTGCCATGTCTTCCTTTGTCATTTCCTTGGCGTGTACAAGCAAAGACAGAGAAGGGGGTGGGCGGGGTGAGTCTGGTGGGTGGCAGAGAGCTCTCTGGTGTCTCTTCATAAAAGGACGCCAATCCCATTAGATCAGGGTCCCACCCTTCTGACCCCATTTAACCTTAATTACTTTTGTACTCCACATACGGCCACACTGGAGGTTAGACCTTCAACATACAAATTTTGAGGGACACCAACAGTCAGTCCATGCCACCACCAAATAGCTCTGTCCCCCACTCTGGCTGAGTCTCAGCTGGCGGGACACGAGGAGCAGCAGGGGTGTGGATGAGTTGCAAGCTTCACTCCCTCGTCTGCTCATCCTGGTGCTTCCACAGCAGCGGCACCCCTAAGCGGGGGTTCGATCCTGCCCTCCTGCCATCTGTGGCCACTGCCCTCTCGAGTTCCCACACAAGGGTTACTCAACAAGGAGCAGTTCAGATGGTTATGGATCTATATAGAAAGATCAGCTCAGCACCTTTACTCTGCAAGCCTTTGCTGAGCATATTAACCTGTTTCTCTGACCCTCAGCCAGTGTAATTATCAAAAAGACTTTCCAGGGTCAAAAGCCAGCAGACTGAGGCTGGGCCATCTGCTAATAGAGCAGGCCACTCATGGCGGTGGGCGGCCCGCTGCTTCCGAATGATTCACCCAAACAGAAGGAGAAAGAAAAAGGAGCTAACGAAAACTCAAAAGAGGAAAACCTCCTAAGAAGTCTCCTTTAGGTTGCCTTGTCTCAAAAATTTCTGAAGCGTGTTATACTACTAGGTACTCTAGGTAATCCAGTTTTTCCCTTCGGTACCTGGTTCACATTTTCTGTGAACAAGAGTGTCATACACAGTCTCCTAATCAACCAAATAGCAGAGCAATTCAGAAGAGCTTGAGGTCAAAGCTCCCCCAGGTGACGCGTCCATGCTGAGGGGACACTAAGTAATCTGCTGGGAGGGTGAGGAATCTTGGGAGCTTCGATTTATATTTGCTCTTAAAATCTCGTTCTTTAATTTCTGTTTTGTGTATGTTTTATCATGTAGATGATATTCTTTTCCAGTTGATTCTATGAGCTGAGCTAATGGATCAACCCCATATTCCTGGTGGTTTAACACAATGGAAGTGTGTGTCCTGGTCACGTAGGGTCCTGTGTGGAGTTCCTGGTGGATCGGCCTTCCACATGGCCATTTAGAGGCCTACACTCTGTCCATCTAAAGGGTCTGTCCCCATCCATGTCCTTAGAGCTCTCCCCACTCAGCCACTGTGTGGGGGAAGGGAGCTTGGCACACCTGCTTCTTGACCATTTGGCTCAGAGGTGACATATTTTACTTTCTCTTTCCATTGGCAGGAAATGGCCCTGCCCAAATCCAGGACAGCTGGGCATCGGGTCCCTGGGTGTGCAACACCAACTTCACGCCATCTTTGTGGCCAGCTAACTACCTCTGCTACATATGGGAGGACATGTGTCTGATTGTTGCTTTTTAATGGGGTTATGCAACCATGAGAACTATACAGTCAACAAAATTTGGAGACCCGTGTTTTAGGAATTGCTCAATTTGGCTGTCAGGCCTCAATTTGGTTCTTTTTTCCAAAATGAGGTGAACTGAGCAATACAGTTCATGACTGAGACAGGAGCTAATGGTACTTAGTTCAGGACTGTACTCACTACCGCCGGCCTTCGGGTCCAGTGGGACTCTGGAGTGGCCACGAGTCTGGGGCCCCACAGCTAGGCTCCCTCAGAGTTGGGCATGAACCCAAAATGACTCAATCTCCATAGGCTTCTTCAGGTCATCCTTTCTGGTGACCAGCTCCTTCCGGTTGGTCTGGCACTTTCCTACTCAAAGTTCTGTGTCCCAGGAAACCCTCAGGTTTAGGCAGACTGAGACAATGTATCTGGGACCATCCTGGTTATGAAATTCAAAGTCCCATGTTCTGAAATCCCGCTCAGTCTAGGGCAAACTAGGAGGATTGGTCACCCTACTGTCTTCCTAACAGACTTTTCCTGTCATTGCCCCTGGGTAGACTTTGAGCCATATGGTGACTCTGCCTATAACAAAGGAAAAGCTTCTCCCCCAATCATTTTATGGGAAGCTTAAATATCAAAAGAGCACAGGTTTTTTGAGCAAAGAGGGCTCTAACCAGGGACGAGTAGACAGACATGTTTCCCTCAGTGTGGGCATGCGGGAAAGGGGACAGTCCCTCAGTGGCCATAATGGGCTACCTCCGTCCCTTCCCACATGAAGGGAAATGGGCACAGCTGCTTCCAGCTGTTTTCTGTTGCATTTGGAGACTTTGCCTGAGGATCACCTAGTGTAAGACAACAGAATATACCTGCTTTCATGTCCAAAAGAGACCAGGAATTATTTCCAGTTTAGTTTTCTTGTCAATGTAACTATAATTAGTCACTGATAGGATTGTTAAGAACACAGTTTCCGAACTTTGTCCCCTTGAGTTAAACAGTGTTTGCAGACACCTCGCTGTGAACGAGCTATCTTGGGACACATCCAGGCACCAACTACTTAACTGTGGTGGCAGAAAGACATGGTCGCATGCTGGGTTGGGGTGGTGCAGGAAGAACGGGTAGAACAGGACGCAAGGTGTGTCAGCCAAGCAGGACCTGGTATTCTCAGTAGGCAGCTGCAAGGAAGACCATCGCCATATAGCTGGGCTCATGGCTGGCCGTCAGGAGAATTATTTTCGATCTCTGATACATGATATTAAGACAGGGACAGAGCCTCCTTTCAGAGGGACTAGGGCTTAAGGCAGGGCAGCCCAAGTGGGGCCTGGAGGAGCAATGGATAATGAGCTCAGGTAGGACCTGAGGCCAGGGTGACACCAACAGTGACTAACTGCCTGGAGGGGACAAAGGGACTTGTTTCTTGGGAGCAGAACTGCGCAGATACTCCAGGCTCCGCCCTCAGGGAGCCCAAATGTAGTTACAGTCACACCCTTGCCGGAATTTCAATGGCTCCTAAGCAGCCCTGCTCACCCAGGACCTCAGCACCCCCTCCCCCTATCTTCTGGGTCACTTCCTGGAGCCTCAAGGGAGGTGAGGGACACAGCCCCTGCTGGCAAGCCCTTGTAGGGAGGGATCGTCCCGCTGTCCTGCTAGAGTCCTTCCCCAAAAATCCCGTAGATGCAAGCCCCATTAGCTTTCAGAGCTAGGGGTTCTGAGGGCCCAGCCCTTAAGCAGGAGTCTTAAAAGCTGGCGGGCTATCTGTGGGGTCCTCGGGGAGAAGCTGCTGGTATGGCGTTGTGCTGGGGGGCGGTGCCTGGCAAGCGTGTGTCTCGGCCTTGCCCACCTGTTTCAGCATGGGTATCTTCTCCTTGTCTCCACTGTAGGAGTCACTCAGCTGGCTTTTGGGTTTCCTTCAGAGGGAATCGCTCTGTGAGTGTGGATGTACAATCGGGGTATCCGTGGGAGGAGGGAAGTTCCAGAGCCCCCTATGTTGCCATCTTGGTGGCCAAAGCAAAATAAAAGGAAATAAAGCCCCTCATGGTGACCTCGGCTAGAAGATACAGGTCTTCAAGAACGGGTATCAACTATTTCTGGGCTGATTGTCTCATAACGTTAGGTACAGAAACTTCAAGGAAGAATGTGGAATCATTTTGGATTCTCTACACTATGCCACTCCCACCAGGGTCAACTCAAGACATCACAAATGACAGTAGAGTTCTTTCTTGTTGTGATAGTGTCAGCAAGGAGCACAGCCAACCTAACCGAGATCCCTTGGGGGTGCAGCATGGGAAGGATGAATATAATTCATCTTTTTTTTCTCTTTGCTAGGTGCAGATGAATTATAGTTCTCAGAGAACTGTTCCTTTTTGCTTAAAATAGTATCAGATTTTTTGTCCAAGTTTTCTACGAATAGAGGCAATTTGACTTGATGTTGGGACAGGGCTTTGGAACTTGGTGGTGACACAGTACCTTTGATTCTCTGCAAGGCATGGGTCAGCTTGTGCTGTTGGGACTTATTTTTTCCCTCCATAAAATGGGAATGAAGAATACTCCATTCAGGAGATTGTAGGGGAATTATTTAAGAGTGTTTTTTAACTGCTGGGTAACTCAAGTGGAAGGCAATGAGTGTGTAAGAATTTTTGGGAAGAGATCTGATAAATATAAATTGTGTAATTTTCTGGGTTCTTTAGAAAAGATGTGGAATGAATTTTGGGCTTAGAATCAGAACCATCTTAAGGTCTGTCTTTTGGAAAAGAGCTAAAATTCATTCCTACTACTGGCAGCTTACCTGTAGGAAGGTGATTCTTGGCCCGGATCTGAGGTTTAAACAGTGTTTGAGTCTTACTTGGAAAACTCATTTGACATGAAAAGACATCTAAATTTTTATGTAATTCTTATATTATTTTTATAAGAAGAAATTAGACATTTACCTCCAGATGAAAGCATAATATTTTCAGGTTGAGTTTTCTCATAAAATAACCCATGTCTGAGGCATCTGGGGGCCTCATCTGGTTAAGCATCTGCCTTTAGCTCAGGTCACGATCCCGGGGTCCTGGGATCCAGCCCTGCATCCTGCTCCTTGCTCAGCAGGGAGCCTGCTTCTCCCTCTCCTCCCTGGTGGTGCTATCTCTGTCTTTCTCTCAAATAAATAAGTAAAATCTTTAAAAAAAAAAATGACCAGTGTCTTTATATTTTTTTTTTCCTGCAGACAAAACTGTGTGGAGTTTTACCCCATATTTCTGATTACGTTGTGGATGGCTGGATGGTATTTCAATCAAGGTAATTTTAAAATAGGATCGACTCTGTTCTAAAGATGACTGTGGTTCTTAGAACCATTAAGGAACGGATGTGCCACCAAACATCGACTGATTCCGGAAATTGTTTTAAACAAAATAATCCATGTCTCTGTGCATCAAAGAGCGCCGCTCTGCAGATAAGCTAACTTTGGCTTCATTTCAGTTTAACTCGGTAAAACAAATAACAAAAACAAAACAGAACGAAAAAACCAACTTGGAGCAAACCGCATGCTGGGCATTCCCAGATGAAAATGACATGATCTTGGTCTTCAACTCTGATTCCTTAATTCCAGTTTCTCTGCAAGAGTTCACCCTAATGATCATAGCTATTATTTACTGAGCACTCACTACGTGCCAGGTACTATTTTACATCTTCAAACGCATCCCATGGACAGGATAGATAGGATTGAAACCTTCCTATGAGGTAGGTTCTGTAACTGATGCCTACTCTACAGATGAGGAAACAAACCCACAGCTTTCGTAGTTTGCTCAACTTAACATTCATCAGTGTGGGAGAAAACTGGCTTTCAAGTACGGGCAGGGTCTGTAGGTATTTTCTCAATAACACGTGCACCCTTGAGTTCACAAGGCTGTCGTGTTCCTGTGTGTAGCCGCTCTGCAAACATCTGGAAATATCCTTGGCGAGCTGAAGCCTTAACCCAAATCTGCCTGTTTCTTTAACGGGGTCAGAGCAGCACTGGCTCTCTGAGTTAAAGAAATTCAATCTCTTTGGCTTTATGATAACTTTCATCATCTCATTTGGGTCTGACACTTGATGGCTAAGATTTCACTAAACCCCAATCCAGTGGCTTTCAAAGGCAACCTCCTTCACTGTCTTCTTGTAATTTTTGCTGTCAACTGAGGAATTTCAGATAAAATGTCCTTCAGAGAGAGAGACCTCTTAACTCTATTCCAACTCACGTTTTTGTCCCCTGAGGGCATGAATGAAGGCGTTTGTTCCTTGTCAGGTAAGACTGCATTAACAACTAATAAGAAACCTGCCTTTGATAATGGGGCTCAGTCTCTGCTATTTGACCCTTTGGATGTCACTGTAACGGGCTGAATGAAGCCTACTATCAGAAAAGGATTTTCTGTCATAATTTTGTTCTTCCTCATGAAAACTTAAGTTGCCTGTTAATTGCCTGGAATAGTTCTCATTGGCTTCGAGGGAATTAAGTCATTAGATGGGGGGTTTGGTGGGGAGGCTTCAGAACTACAGTCTGCTTCAGGATCTCTCCACTTCCTCCCTCACATGCCAGCTGCCCCCCAACCCCCGCCATCTCATCTCTTCGCTTGGCCCCCTTCTTCTCACCCGCAGGTCCCAGGCACACGTCCTCCCCTCAGGAGGCCTTCCCTGACCCCTTTCTAAGGGATGCCTCCTCTGCCCCCGCTGTTCCATCCCTCCTGCCTCATTTCCTTCCCTGTACTTTCAGTTCTGTGATGTTCTTCTAAGTTTTCTCCTTGTTGGCTGTCTTTGCTGATAAACTCTGTAAAGGTAGGGCGCTTGTATCTATTTCACTGCTGACCCCAATCCTTAGACTCTGCTCGGTGTAGAGTAGAAACTAAAGAAAATGTTTGTGATCTAATAAAATAAGGAATTTAATTTTATTCAGGATTTCAGAGCCCCAAAGATAGACTCCAAGTGTGTGCCAGAGGGCTCTCGCAATATGCATCCATTGGGTGCTGAGGAAGAGAGAGGGTCCCTGATGGTAGGGAAAATATTGGTATTTTTTTGTGGGACAAGATGACAGAAGATCATGCTACACTTTACATTTCTTTGAGGTAAAATTTACACACTGTATAGTGAAAGGCACAGATCATACATGGTCCATTCCATGAGTTTTAGCAGGTGTGTGTCCATCAGATGCAGGACATGACTTCTACTTAAAATTTTTCTTTTTTAAAAAGATTCTATCTATCTATCTGTCTATCTATCTATCTATCTGCAAGAGAGAAGGGGGAGAATCAGAGGGAGAGGGACAAGCAGACTCCATGCTGAGCATAGAGCCCAGTGTGGGGCTTGATCTTACAACCCTGGGAATATTACCTGAGCTGATACCAAGAGTTGGACATTTTACTGACTGAGGCATCCAGGTGTCCTTAGAAAGTTTTCTTCTGCCCCTCCTCGTCAGGCACTTTCAGAAGCAAACACCATTCTGGTCTTTTTCATCATAGTTCAGTTCTGCTCATTCTAGAACTTGCCATCGTGGGAATGATACAGTGTTTACTCTTGTGCTGTGCTTCATTCACTCAGAAAAATGTTGAGACTCACCATGTTGTTGCAAGTATCCGTGTCTTTTTGTTGCTGCGTGGTATTCTGTAGTATGATTATCTCAGTTTGGTTATCCATTCTCCTGTTGGTAAGTTTCTGGGCTCTTTCCTGTTTTTTACTATTATGAATAAAGCTGCAATAAACATTCTGCACAAGTCTTTTTATGGACATCTACTTTCATTTCTTTGGGGGTAAATATATAGGAATGGAATTTTTGGGTAAAAAGTATGACCCAAAAGTTGGGTCATAAGAAACTACCAGAACTTTTCCCAAAGTGGCTGTACTATTTTGCATTCCCACCAATAATGTATGAGGATACCAATACCACCAACATTTTGTGTTGTTGGTCTGTTTAAATTTTAGCCATTGCAGTGGGTTTGCAGTGGTATCCTGTCCTTGTGGTTTTAAGATGCAGTTTGCTGATACTGAATGATGTCGAATAATGTTGAAAAAAATTCTCATGTGCTTATTGGTACATTTGCTTATCTTCCTGTATGAATTGTCTATTCAAATATTTTGCCCATTAAAAAAATTAAGTTGTTTTTGACAGAGCTATTTGTGCATTCTGGACATGTACACATTTTGTGAGCATTTTCTCAGTTGTCATACCACGTTTTGAGAGACCGTCATCACATTCCGTATCTTCTCTGTTTTCTCTCTGTAGTTTTTGCTACTTGTCTGGGTCTGGTGTACATATATGCCCGTCACCAGTATTTCTGGGGGTATTCGGAAGCAGCTAAAAAAAGGTAAGGAGAAACTACGAACTGGGTGACACTTAGGAAAAGAGTGGCTGGATGGCGTCCAAATTAGCTGTGCATTCCTGAGGTTATTAAGAGTCCTGATGGTCGTGGTTGCACAAGTGATCTGAGTGGCCCGAGACCCTTCTTCCCAGGCCTTGCATAACTATGGGTGAGACAGGAACACCAAGTACAAACTTGGCACTCAGTGCGCGCTCACAGCCGCCACACTTGAAATCCTTGCAAGGATTGCGCACGATCTCCAAAAAGTCGCAAAGGAAACAATCCTGCCCAGGCGTGACCATCCTTTGAGTGTGCAAAGGAGTCAACCTCTGTGGCTAGGTATCCCCTTAAATTCATGTGATGAATCCAAATTTTCAAATGGCGAAAGCGTTTGAAGTTCTGGGAGGTGCCAGCGGTGAGCAGCCTACCCCAGAACGCCTCCCATCATCGCTGCACTGGTTACCATGTCTCTGCCTCGTGTCTGTCCTGTAGGATCATCGGTTTCCGGCTGAGTCTGGGGAGTCTGGCTCTGCTGATAGTCCTAGGCGCCCTGGGGATTGCAAACAGCTTTCTGGACGAGTACCTGGACCTTAATGTCGCCAAGAAACTGAGACCCTTCTGACGTCCTCCCCTCCCTTGGCCCAAATGTTTGCAGAAGCTATTTCCACCCTGAAGGTCATGTGGAGTCAATGGATCAATTATTAAAAAGAGAAGTCTTTGTTTTTCCTGAAATGGCTTTGTAGGAACATACCCGTTAGAGAATGCATTTCCTGTTTAAGAATTAAAGTCCACCGTGACACTGTACAGCCATATCCTCAGTGGAAGGTGCACGGGCTCTGGTTCTTGACGTGCATGCTGAAGCCACGACTGCTTATGTGGGAGAAAGCAGCCTGACTGCGTGCCGAGTTTTCTGTGGGGCTGCTGTCCCCCCACCGATAATGGTCCCACTATTCCTGTCCCACTACTACTTTCCAGACAGATGCTAAACAGGCCGCCACGCTCACTTTATGGGTTGTAGGAGAGCAACAGCTGGCTGTACGTGGGGGAAGTCGGGCAAACACATAAAGTCGCCAGAGAAGACAGTCATCAACTAATAGCATAAAACAAATCTGGGGGCGAAATTTCCCTTTTTAAAGAAAAAGGGGAAAAGGGGTGTGGGGAAAGGCCTATCATTTTTTTTTAAAGATTTTATTTATTTATTTGACAGAGAGAGATTACAAATAGAGAGGCAGGCAGAGAGAGAGAGAGAGGGAAGCAGGCTCCCTGCTGAGCAGAGATCCCGATGTGGCACTCGATCCCAGGACCCTGAGATCATGACCTGAGCCGAAGGCAGCTGCTTAACCCACTGAGCCACCCAGGCGCCCAAGGCCTATCCTTTTTAAGGAAGCGTCCTGAGACTAGTGTGCAGCTGATGTCCTTGCCCCTGGTCAGGGGAAGGAGGGTCATGGCCACAGCTGGAGCGAGGACAGGGTTCTGCTGTACTTCCGGTGTCATATGGGGTTTGGGGTCAGCAGCTGCTGTGGCCCTCCTCTATTTTCTCTGTCTTTTATTTTATTTTATTTTATTTTATTTTTTTTAAGATTTTATTTATTAGAGAGAGAGAAAGCACAAGCACAAGTAGGGGGAGCAGCAGGCAGAGGGAGAGGGAGAAGCAGGCTCCCTCCTGAGCAGGGAGCCCGATGCAGGGCTCGATCCCAGGACCCTGGGATCATGATCTGAGCCGGAGGCAGAGGCTTAACCCACTGAGCCACCCAGGCGCCCCTACTTTCTTCATCTGTAGGATGGGAATGAGTTCACCTCACAGTCTTCAGGGACTTCAGGAGAATGGAATTATGAGCCCATATAACACATTTTAACATCAGGAAAAGAGCTCTGTCAATTTTTCTAGAGAAATCTGGACAGCGTCGAGTCTGTCTTGGGCATCTTCAAGAAGCTGTTGATTGGGACTTTTCTTTTTTGTGGGTGGATACAAAGGACTATTTAAAAGACTATGCATAATAGGAAAAGAGATAAAGGCATTGAAAAAGTAGTGTTTCCAGAATATTGGGGAAGAGATGACAACCCGGGGTCCCAAATGACAGTACTAAATATTTGCAAATACCCTGAGAATGCAGTGGTCTGAAAATGGAGCTATCAAGATCATCCTCACGGGCTGTTTGCCTTTGAATAAAGCCCCTCACCCATAGGGGGCGGCTAGCGAGGCAGTGAAGACCAGAGCCGGCCAACACCAATCCTGTTGGAGCCCGTGCTGGGCTGGCTACCGCAGTTCCGTGTGGCTCTTTGCCTCCGTTTTCCTTGGGTAAAATGGGGCTATTCCTCACTGTAAAATGCTGTGTTTCTATGGCTTTTTTACTTTTTAGTATTCTGATCAGTTATGATGACTTGTATTGTGACATTTGATTGTTTTACACATTGAAGACAATAAAGAAGAAAGAAAGCAAATTTTGACCCCAAAGAACAGTTACTACATAATCATATCCTTTGGAAGTGGGGAAAAGAACACACGACTTTCTCAATCTGGCACTTGAGCATTTATAAACAATTTCTTTTTTTTTTTTTTAAGATTTTATTTATTTATTTGACAGAGAGAGATCACAGGTAGGCAGAGAGGCAGGCAGAGAGAGAGGAGGAAGCAGGCTCCCCACTGAGCAGAGAGCCCAATGCGGGGCTCCATCCCAGGACCCTGGGATAATGACCTGAGCCGAAGGCAGAGGCTTTAACCCACTGAGCCACCCAGGAGCCCCTAAACAATTTCTATGTTGCATCTAAATTGGAGCTATTTAAAAAAGTAAATTACAGGGGTGCCTGGGTGGTTCAGTCGTTAAGCATCTGCCTTCCTTTGCCTTCTGCTCCAGTCATGATCCCAGGGTCTTGGGATCGAGTCCTGCATCAGGCTTTCTGCTCAGCGGGGAGCCTTTCTCTCTCCCTCTGCCTGCCGCTCTCCCTGCTTGTGCTCTCTGTCAAATAAATAAATAAAATGTTAAAAAAAAAGTAAACTACAAATACACAATTTGGTTAAAAACTTGTGGAGAAAGAAGATGGGTACACCAGGCTATCAGAGCTTTGTATCTTTAAACATCTGAACCATAAAATTTATTTCCTTTGTTCTAATTCTATTGTTACCAAGGCAACCTCTTGATTATTTTAATTCCTATAAATTTGGCTACAAGGAGGAAATATGCTGGCCAGAGAGATGTGAGTTTCTGATCTGTTTGAGAATTATAGATGTATATGATTTGTATACTAATCAGTTGATGGGTTTTATTTTTAGAAATCAGATTCATTGTCTCAAAAACTGTTATGAAAAAAGGGACAGGAAACTATTCTCTATTAAAAGAGTCTTAAGAGGCATAAAAACCAAATGGCGATATGGGATCCTTGATCAAATCCTGGTTGGAAAAAAAAACAAAACAAAACAGTTACGGAAGACATGTGGGAGACAACTGGGACAATCTGAACATAAAGTAAGAATTAGGTTGTATTAGGGAATTCATGTTAATTGTGTGAGGCGCGGTAATGATCTTCTGGTGAGAGGAGAGAATGTGCTAATTCTCGGGAGCTGCATGTTGAGAGGTTGAGGGGTGAAGGAACTGAATGGGGATAACTGATCTGGAGTTGTTCTGCAATGTAATCACGGAAGGCATACATGACACAGTGCTAATATTTACTAAATTGAGGCAAGTGTGCAGTTACTCATCAGATTGTCTACTTTTCTGTTTGATGAGGTTCATAATGAAAAGTTCAAAAATCATTTCTAAGAAGTTAAAACCCAAAATCAGATTCTTGGTAGCTGTGAATTTTTTTTTTTTTTAAGATTTTCTTTTTCTTAATTGAGCACTCTATGCTTGTGGTGGGATCTGTGGGATCGATAGAGCCACAGCAGTAGCGGTGGCCCAGCAGCTGTCCCGGACACAGCAGGGACGCCAGGGCCTCCCTTGTGCGGATGCTGCCGTAATTGCCTCCACCTGTTGCATGAAATCAGACAGGTCGAGGTGGCTTGCCCATAAGACACCGGTGTGGGAATCAAATGTCATCGGAATTGGGAAAGAGACTAGAGGACAAAACAGAGAAGAGGGGGGAAAAAAAAATAATGAAAACATAAAACAACAGAGCCTGGGCGCCTGGGTGGCTCGGTGGGTTAAAGCCTCTGCCTTCGGCTCAGGTCATGATCCCAGGGTCCTGGGATCGAGCCCCGCATGGGGCTCTCTGCTCAGCAGGGAGCCTGCTTCCTCCTCTCTCTCTCTGCCTGTCTCGCTGCCTACCTGTGATCTCTGTCAAATAAATAAATAAAATCTTAAAAAAAAAAAAAAAACAGAGCCTGATTTTACAATCAAGTAGCTTTGTTCCCTTTCTGGGCATTTCCTCTCCCTGACTTGCCTTTGCTGGGTTGGAGGTGGGCATGGCGTTAATAAGGAAAAATAACAGCTCATTTGTTTTATCACTCTTGACTCCATACACAGTTTTCCTTGAAAAGAACGGTCACAGGCAGAGATAGCTCATCTGGTGCTTCTGAAAGCTCCTTTAGGCAATAAAATGCATCTTTCTCACTGGGACGAACGTGGAGTGAATTTCCAGATAGATGTTTACTCTCTGCCTCTCCCCTCATCCCACACTTACTGCACTGGGATTTTAAAAAGGTCGGTGAGATACATATAGGAAATCCTTCCGAAGGAGAAGGGGATGGCGTTCATGCTGTGCAGGATACACTTCGGTGTCAATGAAAATGCGTGCTTTTAATTAGTCCGGGCTTAGGAATACTCAACTCTTCTCGGAGCTTCAAGTTTTTCTGTTTATCAGACTACCCTCCCCGCCCCCATCAGTTCATTCTTCCAGTTCCTGTCATCTGGTAGAGTACTAAGCCCTTATCAGTGGGACAAAGCCCCAGGTCACACCGTTCTCTCCACACTGTTATTCGGCAGCCGCTCTGGAACCATCGTCCTCCAGGAGTAGGACCGGCCTCTCCCACAGTCAAATGCATTCTTCCTCTTGGTTGGTATGTATTAAAACTCACCTTTGTTTTGGATCTGTTTTTGATGATGATTTTATTCTGTGCTTGTGGGCTGTTTTTCTGCTTAACCCAGATAGTTTTGAATGGTGGTGTTTTACTGTGCCTTTTCAACTTTGATGGAAAGCCTTAGGTCAAGTCTCCTAGAAGGGGAGGGGTTTCACATGTGTGTGATTCACATGTGTGTGATTCATTAGCGAAGGCCCCCCAGGAGGGTAATCAGAACAGAGCGGGGAAGGGTGAGAAGCCAAGTAAGGACAACTTCAGGCAAAGTCTCAGCCTCTGCCTGGTCCCACAGGGGAGCTCTAGAGCATAAATCCTACCTCAGGCCTTGTCCAGGCCACCCGACTGCGTTCTCACATTCTTGCACTAGTGAGTCACTGACTACCGTGGATCTGAAGAAATGTAAACTTCTAATCATTTCCAACAGTTTGTGGACGGTGAAGGCCAAGAGAGATGCAGCAAGGGCTAGAAGTGAGGTGTCTATGGGTTGTGTGTGTGTGTGTGTGTGTGTGTGTGTGGACAGTGTCTGCTACAGTGGGGCGAGACCCTTGTGTTACTTTCCCTTCCCTATATTCCTTGAGGGTTCTTTCTTTTTTTTTAAAGTGAAAATTTTACTATCACTTTTCTAATGAGCCAGTTGGAAATTGAAAGTACTGAATCTACAAATGGACTTCAGTATGTTCCTTTCATAGCTGACTTTCTTCTCTTCTGTTTGCTACATCCATTGGGATGCAAATTT